ACAGTTGGGTTGCAGAAGCTGATATGGGCAACGCACGCCGAGCTCTCAAGGACTATCTTGTCAAGCAGGGTGTATCTCACGCCACCCAGCTTTGAGGGGGGGACCTGTGAGAGTACGACGGCTTATGCCAGCTATGCTTGCTTGCCTTTACTTTATGATGCTATTTCTAGCATAGGATACTTATATGCATGCATGAATTGCTTGATTTCCTAGGCTAGGTGCTTTCCTATATTTTATTATAGTTATAGCACCGAGCTAGGTTGCGTGCACCGAATTCTGGCCTTTTCGGTTGCCACCGAATTGCCTTCTACCGAATTCGGTAAGGATCTGTTCGGGACGCTACGCGACCCACAGAACCTTCGCGTAACACCTGGTTACGGGGCCTTGTGTCGAGCCTATATATAGCCTCGTGTTGTACCCAGGTGATCATTCAATTCAATTTAATTCACATTCTCTTTTCTGAGCTCGATCCTAGATCCTCACACTCGAACTCGATCACTAAGCTACTAAACCTATGGCTCCTAAGCCTCCTCATGTTTAGTATCTTAACAGGAGCTGTAGAAGAGACACACGTGCACAGACCTGGGTGAGCTGCGCAGCTACCTTGGCTTGCAGATCACCCGGGACAGAGCACGCGGCACCATCACACTGACTCAGTCACACATGGTGCAGCAGGTCCTTCACCGCTTCGGCTTCACTTGGTCCCCGGCACAGGCCACTCCTCTGGCTACAGGTCCCTCGCTCACAGCTCCACCTTCGGACGAGTCCGTAGAGCTGAGTGGTCCTTACCCAGAGCTAGTGGGCTGCCTCATGTACCTGATGACCTGCACTCGTCCTGACCTTGCGTACCCTCTTGGCCTTCTGGCTCGCTATGTGGCTCCTGGTCGGCACCGAAAGGTGCACATGGATACTGCTAAGAGGGTACTATGCTACTTGTGCAGTACATCGGGCATGGGGCTCGTGCTTGGAGGACGGAGCGACGTTGTCCTCACTGGGCACTCAGACGCTTCTTGGGTTGACGACCAGGCTACCCAGCGGTCGTCACAGGGTTACACCTTCAGCCTTGGCTCTGGTTCAGTTTCTTGGCGTTCTACACGCTCGTCTTTAGTTCTCAGCTCCAGTTGTGAGGCTGAGATCTACGCCATAGCCATGGCTGCACTGGAGTTGCGCTGGCTTACCTACCTGCTGACCGACTTGGGAGAGCGGCCTCGTTCTCCTCTAGTGCTGTACTTAGACAACAAGGCCGCCATTGCCTTGTGTCAGGAGCACAGAATGGAGCACAGAACGAAGCGCATCGCTCTGCGTTACTTCCCGAGAGTTGCAGCAGCGTGGTCAGCTTCATCTTGCTCACGTGGCCACTCAGGCCAACACTGCTGATATATTCACCAAGGCACTTCCGCTTGGTGAACATCAGCGCTTTTGTACTTTGTTGGGCCTTGTGTCAGATTATAATGCATGTCTAGTCTGTAGTGGGGTACTCAAAAGTGAGTTTAACCCTTTTAGGGCTTACTACTTGTATCCCCCTCCTTTCTAGTTTCAACATTCTCCTTCCACAATTCTCTCGACATTTCACTCACACCCTAAAACTCGAACTCACTCCTAAACTACCATGGCTCCTAAGCCAAACTCTCGCTAGTTTCTTAACATGCTATCAGAGCTTAAAGCTCCTGGCCTGTGGGCCCACTTGCTTCCGCTGCCCTACTGTGTGTCGCGCGCCCCGTGGCGCGCGACATTCTATTTTTCTTCCCGCCACGCGCTCGGAACGCGTGGCGGTTTTCTGCCCGCCGTGCGCCCTGAGGCGCGCGGCGGGTTCCTACCTCGTCGCGGCGTCTTGGGGGCCCGCGCACTGGCCCCGACCGTCGCCTCGTCGCGCCGTTTTGGGGGCCCGCACGCAGGCCCCTCCCGTCGCCTCGTCGCGGCACTTTCGGGGCCCGCGAGCCAGCCCCTCCCGTTGCCTCGTCACGGCGCCTTAGGGGCCTGCGTGCGGTCCCCTCCCGTCGCCCGTCGAGGCACTTTCGGGGGCCTGCGCAGCTCCCTAGCAATTTCGAGGCACCCTGGGGGCCGCGCCCTTCCCCTCCCCTCCCTCCCAATTTCCGCTGCAGCAGCAGCCCCTGGGGCAGCCGCCCCAGCAGCAGCAGCACCTGGAGCAGCCGCCCCAGCACCAGCAGCCCCTGGAGCAGCCGCCCCAGCAGCAGCAGCCCCTGGAGCAGCCGCCCCAGCAGCAGCAGCCCCTGGAGCAGCCGCCCCAGCAGCAGCAGCCCCTGGAGCAGCCGCCCCAGTAGCAGCAGCCCCTGGAGCAGCCGCCCCAGCAGCAGCAGCCCCTCGAGCAGCCGCCCCAGCAGCACCAGCCCCTGGAGCAGCGGCCCCAGCAGCTGCAGCCCCTGGAGCAGCCGCCCCAGCAGCAGCAGCCCCTGGAGCAGCCGCCCCAGCAGCACCAGCCCCTGGAGCAGCCGCCCCAGCAGCAGCAGCCCCTGGAGCAGCCGTCCCAGCAGCAGCCGCCCCAGCAGGAAGCAGCCCCAGCAGCAGCAGCACCTGGAGCAGCCGCCCCAGCAGCAGCAGCCCCTGGAGTAGCCGCCCCAGCAGCAGCAGCCCCTGGAGCAGCCGCCCCAGCAGCAGCAGCCCCTGGAGCAGCCGCCCCAGCAGCAGCAGCCCCTGGAGCAGCCGCCCCAGCAGCAGCAGCCCCTGGAGCAGCCGCCCCAGCAGCAGCAGCCCCTGGAGCAACCGCCCCACCAGCAGCAGCCCCTGGAGCAGCCGCCCCAGCAGCAGCAGCCCCTGGGGCGGCCGCCCCAGCAGCAGTAGCCCCTGGAGCAGCCGCCCCAGCAGCAGCCGCCCCAGTAGGAGCAGCCCCAGCAGCAGCAGCCCCTGGAGCAGCCGCCCCATCAGCAGCAGCCCCTGGAGCAGCCGCCCCAGCAGCAGCCCTTGGAGCAGCCGCCCCAGCAGCAACAGCCCCTGGAGCAGCCGCCCCAGCAGCAGCAGCCCCTGGAGCAGCCGCCCCTGGCCCCTGCAACAGCCGCTCCTGAACCCGGTGCAGCCGTGGGGGGGTGGGTGTGGGGGTGATGGTTGTGGGGGTGTCGGTTCTGCGTGCCGTCCCCTCCTCCTCCTCCTCCTTCGTCTCCCACTGCTGCAGCTATCGCTGAGGGGGGTGGATGTGTGGGAGTCTGGGGTTTAGGGTTTAAGGGGGTGCTGTGGGTGTAGGGCTAGGGTTTGAGCAGGGGGTGTGTGAGAGGGGCGTTGGGCAGCTGGGGGAGGTTGAGTGGAGGCAGCAGTCTTGTCGTCAGCAGCACCAGCAGTCCGGAGGCTACAATCTCCGGTAGTCGCCAGTCGCATGTGGGCCAGTTGCTCGTCTGCCGCTACTTTTAGCCGCGGAGCCAGTTACTCCTGTAGTCCGGGCCTTTGCTTCGGTAGCCACTGAGCCAGCAGCTCGTCTGTATGTCTGCAGCGTCAGCAGTCGCCTCCCATCTTCTCTCCTCCACAGTCTCTCCTCCTCCTCACTTGCCCACTGTGATTAGCTCTAGCCTTACTTACCTATTGTGAACTCTAGCTCTATGCCTGCATGCTGTACTGATTATACCCCACTTTGACTATGGGGGTGTGTCAGATTATAATGCATGTCTAGTCTGTAGTGGGGTACTCAAAAGTGAGTATAACCCTTTTAGGGCTTACTACTTGTATCCCCCTCCTTTCTAGTTTCAACATTCTCGTTCTCTTTTCTCACCTTGTGCCTACATTTCCTCACTTGCTGTAGGCTCTGCGTGTACTGTGATATATATATATATATATACCTCCATGCTTACTCCTAGTAGGTAGAGATCATTGTGCTGTTGTTGTTGCATATATACCTCTGCATATGAGCTGGCCTTGGGGCCCTTTGCTTGTGCTCAGTGTGTGTTGTGACGTTGTGATCCACCCTGAGCTTGCTTTGCTTCTCTTGACTGGTCTTGTGACCTCTTGCTCTCCCCCACTTTGCCTATGGGGGTGTGTCAAATTATATGCATGTCATATATGTGTAGGCTGTAGTGGGGTAGTCAATATCAGGTACAACACCATTAGGGTTTCATATTTGTCCCAAATCCTCACCTAGTCAATTCATCCCTACTACTAGATTCTAACAATTAGCACACTAGGTATGTTGGCATTACAATTGCACCTATTCTCAACTAACAAGGCTGCAAAGCAACACTGGTTGGTAGTGGTGTTTCCATAATGAAGTCTAGCATAAACAAGCAGCTGGCAGCTGCCATAGATGGTATTGCCAAGTGAGGAGCTTGGCACCTAATCCCCTCGCCTAACCCGTAGCTACCATAACTTACCGCCGGTAACCATTGTGTTCAATCCTGCTGACATAACATGACTGCTGACATTCCGGTAGCCATCGGATCACATGCCCTTTGATGATGAAGAGCAGAGTGATGCCATCTGATTCACACGGGGATACGCCATCAAGCTGAACCCAGAAGTGCGGAACTGAACTGTCGGGACCGGCCTTGTCTTGCTGTCAAATTTGCCGTACACGTTACGAATCACCGGGGAGATCTGTACGCTCTTAGACGCGGGTGTGACGCGCACGTTGGAGAGGTGGATGTCGCGGCACGGCACGGAGTAGCTGCAGTTGAGCAGCAGCCCGCGCTTGAATGTCGTGGTGGCCTCTATGTTGCTGAAGCTCACCCCTTGCACCGCAACGTTGTCTGTCTGCTTCTCACACACCACTCCAGGAGTCGAGCGATCGCAGTAGTTCTGATGTGTTAGAGGAAGGTGGATGTGAAGGTGGGAACAGGTGTGAAGGGAGCAGTTTAGTGATGTGAAGGAGGAAAACTTGCATAGAGAGAGGCAGGTGAAGAGGCCAGGCGAGGGTGTAGAGTACTGAGAACACGGTAGGAGGTGCAATACCAACCAGGATATGTTTTAGCTGTCAAGAACAAATCGTGTGTGCAAGGCTCACACTATGCAGGCAGGGTCAGATGTACTACCTCCTGGTCAAGGTGAAAGCGCCGTTCAATCACCTGATCAATCACTATCGGAAGCTTGATGTTCTTCATAAGCACGTTCTTAAACTGAATGTTCTTCACCAGGCCGCGGCCCCCCTGGTACGTCTTGATGCGCAGCCCATTGTCTGTGTCTGTTAGAACCACGTTGCGTACAGTCACATCGGAAACACATGCCACTGTGCCGTGTGCTCCAAGGCTACCGATGCTGCAGATGGCACAGGGAGAGAGAAGAGGGCGAAGGAAGAGGGGAAGATAGGGAAGAAGGGCAGTGGAGGAGGGGTGGAGGGGTTGGGGGGTGGGGGGGGGAGGATGGCAAGGAGGAGGAGAGATAAAATATATGTATGGAAGTGCACATTTAATGGCTTGAGGTTGAGCTTGTGTCTGGTGCTTGAGGTTGGTAATACGCTGCCTTGTGTCATGAATCATAATATACTTGGTATACACGCAAAAACAATGGCAATATGTTGACTTAAAGACGCCACAACACACCATATGACACGCCATCACACGTCAGTTCACACATAGAGCTCATCCCATCGCAAACCTACTAATATCCACACCCTCAAATGCCCCCCAAACCTGGCAGCCGTTGCAATTCCATCCCATACCTGATCTCTTGCTATGCCTAGATTCCCGAACCTACTGCCAAATCTGCGTCCGTGCCGTACCTGATGCCGTGGCCAGCCGTGCCCCATATGTTGGCGATGGTGACTCTATGCGCCCCTTCTTCTATGGAAATGTTGTCGTCGCCTGGTAGAGAGAGAGGGGGGGAAACGGGGAAAAGAGGGCACGGGAGGGGAAAGGAGGAAAAGAGGGAACAAACGGGAGGCGGGGCATGGGAAGGAGGGTGAAAGAGGGGAGGAGAGGAAGGGAGAAAGGAGAGAGGGGAGGGGGAGAACGAGAGCAGGTAAATAAGAGTGTTGGCGTAAGACAGATCGTTCCCACGTAATTCATAGCCATCTGCTGTGTTGGAGTGGTTTGTCGAATCCCAAGCTCACTAGATACTAAAGCGCGTACCCGTGTGAATGTTGCTGAACTCCACAACCACGTCGCTGGACGAGCCGATGTGAATGCCGTCTGTGTTGGGGCTGTCAGCAGGCGACTCAACTGTCACGTTCGACACGCGCACGTAGCCGCTGCGGAAAATGTTCATGTGCATGCCCGCGGGGTTCCTGCACGGATGCGCACGGCGCGGGTGGAGGTAGAGAAGGCGAGGGGAAGCGAGAGAGGGGGGAGAGAGGGGTATTGGGTCGACTCATAAGCTGTCAGAAGGCGAATGCTAGACACATTCGACACGCGCATGTGGAAGATGTTCAGGTGCATTCCCGCGGGGTTCTTGCGCGAATGCGGCGGGAGCTAGAGCGGGAGAGCGGGAAAGCGGAAGTGCGGGAGCGCAGGAAAGCGGGAGCGAGGAAGAGGGTGAGTACGGTGGTGGAGGTGGGTGCTGCTGCGACAAGAGGCGAGAGCTTCAGCTGACAAGTGGAACAACTCGTGAAAGGGATGAACACACTCCCACGGCGAGGCGGCTACAGCGTACCTGTTTTTGAAACCCGCGAGCGTCACGCTGTAGCTAGCGAATATGTCCAGCAGAACGGGCCGCTTCAGCTCCCTTGGGAGCTCATTCCCGTGATACATGGGCCACCAGCGCCGGTCGCCTCGCCCGTCCATCTCCCCGTCGCCCACTATCCATAGCCCGTGCGCCTGCTTCGCTTGCAGCACCGCGCCGCTGAAATCGCCCGGCCAGGATTTTGAGGAGGGCGGGTTCTCTGGCGCGACGATTTTCCCGTCCAGTTTGATGGTCACTCCCGGGCCGCATGGGCCTTGCATGGTGACGTAGTTAAGGAGGAGGGTTTTTCCGCGGGGGATTCGGAGTACGGTGCGCTTGTTCGCCTTCTTCGCCGCGCTGCACGCGGCGTTGAACGCGGCTAGAAACGCGGAGGAGTCGTCGGACTTGCCGTCGCCCCTGGCGCCGCGATCCATGGGAGAGTACACGTCAGCGCACGACGCGGGCTGGAAATAGCAGTAAGCCATGGCGGATGGCTCGTCTTTGCCGCTCGCGCGAGCGCGGTCCATGCATTCCGGCGGAAGAAGCGGCGCGGCGACCTCGCCGCCGCCCTTGACGCGCTTCGCGGCGGCCGCCGAGTCAAGAGGCACGGAGCCGCCGTACCAGAGACAGGTCTGGCTGGAACGGCAGCCAGCTAAGTTCGGATACAGGAGCGAGGTTGGTGGGCGCGAAAGAAGAACGTGGGGTGGGGAGGGCGGGAGAGAAGAGAAAGAATGAGGGTGGAAATCGAGAAATAGAAGAAGAGGGGGGGGGGAATGGGTGGAGGGGAACAAGAGGACGGTGATAAGTAGGGAAGGTGAAGAGGCAGCTATGGCGAGCGGCTGGGTTACACGGCGCTGATTGCGGGGTTGGGAAATGGGGAGTACGGCTCAAATCACCGCATAATACACATGAGACCTGCATGCGTTGACTGGTGTTGACCAGCGTTGAATCGAACACGTACCAGGCCCCTTGATTATCTTGCATCGGTCGTCCAGTGTGTAGCGACAGTCGCCTGTCACCGTCGTGGCACCGCGACTCGGGGCCCACGCATCGGTGCGCTTCAAGACCTTACTGTGGGGAGACACGCGGAGGGAGCGGAGACACGCGGAGGGAGGGGAGAGACGGGAGGGAGGGGAGAGACGGGAGGGATTGGAGAGACGGGAGGGAGTGGAGAGACGGGAGGGAGTGGAGAGACGGGAGGGAGTGGAGAGACGGGAGGGAGGGGAGAGACGGGAGGGAGGGGAGAGACGGGAGGAAGGGAAGAAACGGGAGGGAGGGGAAGACACAGGAGGGGAGGTGTGATGCGATTAAGGTTTCGATTCCGCAAAAAGGTCGAGTAAAATAGAATGGAAACATACGCCGTACGTAGCAAAATATTGCTACGTACGGCGAGACGGTGATATGTGACTTCGCGAAAACGAACAATATGCTGGGGCCGGAAGACGACGGAGATGACGGAGGAAGATTGGGAAAAGGACCATGCGGGTGGTACGAGCAATACACAGCGCGGAGTGCGCACGAGAGAAGGGGCTTACGAGGTACTGAATCGCTCGACTCGGATGAATCTCTTTGCTCGCGAGTTGTACTGACACGCCGCATGTGTCTTGGGAATGGCGCCTGCAATAAGGGAGAGTTTACAGGGCGCAAGGAGACATCGCAAAGTGTTTTGAGCTGGAGGTGTCTCAAACTAGTCAAACGAGAAGTGCCGTTTCAAAGGGTTGAAGGTGTGCAGAAGAGAGATATTACACGGTAAACTTGGGAAACGAGGGTCCGGAGAGTGCTACTAACCGTGAGCAATGTGGGCAAAGGTCTCCAGAATGAGGAAGAAGAAGAGAACAGCAGGAAACGTTGCAGAGAGCTGGCGGCGATTCTGGCGCTGGTGTCGGTGCTTGTGCTGCCGTCGGCCAAATACGCTCGTCTGCAAGATATCCTCAGGCAAGACAGCCGCTGGCTGCCTCGCGTGGCGGCGTAGCATTTCCATTGGTGTGCGACGCGACGAAGAGATGCTGCTGCTGGCCTGTGTCGGAAGCTCCGCAGCGAAAATAATCCGTTCGTGAATTAGAGGTGCGTGGGCGAGACGAGTGAATAAGAATGTGCAGAGTGTGAAGGTAGACTCTGGCCGCAGAACCAAGGAGAGCAGGCGTGGAGAAGTTGCAGCGAAGAGAGAGGAGAAGTTGATTGTGAGAGGTTACGATCCTTCGGAGGCTGTGTGACTGCGCTCCGGCGTGATGTGCGGCAAACTGGCTAAGATATCGGCGAATGCTCGCGCTTGTGTAAGTGCAGCAGCTAGCAATATTTGGTTTCGAGACAATCTTGACAGTTCTGAAATGCCTGCTAGATTCCAGTCCTCTAGTAATTATGTTGCAGTATTTAGTCTGAACGTAGTTGATGTGAAAACTCGTATGTGGTACCTTCCCAGATACCACCTGGCGGAACGCGCTCATGGGCTTCCAAGGTCGTTAGCGGCACGAGAGGCGCACATTCTAATCAGCTTTGGTGAGAATATACGTTTTCTTGGAAAATTACTTGACCATCCTTATGGCGGTATGTTAGGCCCTCGCATCTCTAATGCTGCATGCGAAATGTCGGCCAGATCGCGCGATGACCAATTTCGATTTTCTGTGCCGTCTCCGAGGCGCTAACCAACGAGTGAACATTCCGCGCCGAACCATTTGACTCCCTCCCACCCAACCAAGTTTGGAGGTTGATCAAGCCCGAGCCGTGTTGCTTGCTGTAATATGTCCGTTCCATTTAGGGCGTCCACGTCGAAATCAGTAGAAAAATTTGAACCGTCAGATCTGAGGACCCTGAGATATCCGACGGTTCTAACCCACCGCCTTAGCTAGGTGTCATCCAGCTTGTCCCCGCACGTACTGTGCGACGGGTGTGACAGAATTTGATGCTGCGACCCGCTCAGGACGAATCGCCAGGAATGAAAAAATTGTCCCGCTCGTCAGCGACCACTCGACGACACTCACTGTGCGCGTGTACGAACATCACTTGTGCCCCTCGCCAGTTGCAAGGAAGAAACAGCCAATTGAGTGACGAGAATTTTACGAGGTCGAAACATGATATTAGTTGTACAATTGTTACAGGTGCAATGAATCTAGGTAGCGAGGATTGCACTACAGTGTTCAATGAGTAAAAAGTTTGGGCGAAGGCATGAAAACATGCAAACGGTAACGTGGAGCGTGCGAGCTAGCTAGTGCTATGCTCGCGCGAGGTTCAGGCTAGTCCCGAAGCGTAGGCCAGCTCGGCTGCTCCAGCAGTGCGAGGTTTGATGTAACAGTGCGCGCGAAGTTGGCGAAGCCCCGTTAGCAGTAACGGGCGAAGAACCGCTGCTACTCTACGCGATGTTGACAGTCGCGGCAAGGAATAGCAAGAAAATTCCTTACACTACCCCCCCCCCCCCCCCCCCCCCCCCCCCTCTCAAGAAGCCCCCTCCGCTACGCGAGTGCGTGTGTATCGTGGAAACCCCGGCTCCTAAGGTACACTTGCAGGGCAGGGTGGTTTTCGATGTTGGCCAGGGGCACTCGGCTATCCTCAGTTGGCGTGTGGTCCTTCCGGCGAACGAGGAACTCGATCCTCTTGATGCCTGTGGGGTGTCGAATCCGATGGCTCAGGATCTTCTCAAGCTCGATGATCGGCTCCGATGCAGGGCGAGTCATGGATGGCGGGTAGTGACGAGGCAGTTGGCTCGTGGTTGGGATGTAAGGGCGAAGCAGGCTGACGTGGAACGATGGGTTGTGTACCAGTCTGTCCGTAACAGTAAATGGGCGGTAACTGGGGTGATCATGTGGCTGACTTGGAACGGTCCACAGTATCGCGGTCGAAGTTTTGGTACAACGGGCAGTCTTAAGTTCAGTGTGTCGAGAAGTTAGTAATCTCCTTACTTATACGTAACTGGGCGGCAGTGGCGGCCAGCGGTGCGTATAGCAATGACGTTGCCTTTTTTCATTGCTTCTGCGGCTCTGGTGCGGGTAGCTTGCAGAATCCCAGCGAACTATTGTGCGCGCGGCGTTGGGTTGTCTGGACTCGGCGCCATGGGCACTGTTGGGTTTTGCCCGTAGTTCATGTAAAACAGGGACTGCTGCATCGTCGCTGACGTGGCGTTGTTTTTTGCGAACTCGATCAGCGACCACTGCTGCTCCCAAGTTGTCGGGTCGTCGCACGTGGCACGAATCAACTGCTTCTTCGTCTGATTCGTCCGCTCCGTTTGACCGTTGGTCTCGGGGTGGTCCGACGAGCTGAACTATAGCCTGGTCTCGAACTGCTCCCAGAGGTTCTTCCAAAAGTTGTTGGTAAACTTCCTGTCGCGGTTGCTGATGATTGCGGCTGGTATCCCGTGCAGTCGAACGACAGTTGCGATGAACAGGCGAACGGTTTCTTCGGCTGAGATTGATCTCCTGCATGCAGCGAAGTGAGCCATTTACTGCCTGTCAACGACGACCATTACCGCGTCGTTACCCCAAGGGTTCGAAGATAACCCTGTGACAAAATCCATAGTCACCTACTGCCAGGCGCACTCGGGCGGTGGAATCGGCTGCGACTGACCCGCTTTTCTTTTTTCGCGAGCTCTTCATCACCTGACACATAGGATACGAGCACACGTAGTGCTGTACGTCGGTCAACAGCTCCGGCCAGTAGTAATAGCGCTGCAGTTGCTGTCACGTTTTATCAACCCCGAAGTGACACGAGGTAACCCCGTCGTGTGCCTCCTGCAGTAGCAGTTCTCTCAGTAGTGAATACGCGGGTTCCCAGATGCGGTTGGTGCATGTTTTTACGTAATAAACTCCCTTACCTTCTGCCAGTTGCTGTGAATTTCCGGTCGTGAAAAATGAATTGGTATTGTATCTGTGGGTGAATAGGTCTGTTAACGGTGGATTGGTTTGGGCAAGTAGGATGGCGAAGAGTTGGGCTGTTGGGAGAGTGAGTGCGTCGGCGATGTGTGATACGCCTTTCTTGTACATGACGGTGTAGTGGAAGTTGGACTCCAGATAGTCCAACTAGCGGATCTGTCGCGGATTGAGATTCGGTTAGGCGCGGAGGTACTGAAGTGATCGGTGATCTGTCCGTACTGTCACGTCTGCTCTGGTGAGGTAGCATCGCCACACTTTGAATGCGTGCACGATCGCCAGCATCTCGCGGTCGTGTATTGGGTAGTTGTGTTCGGGCGGGTGAAGTTTGCGGGACTCGTACGCGATTGGCTAAAGGCCGTTCCCAAAGTCCTGCAACGGTACTGCTCCCATGGCTATGTCGCTTGCGTCGGTGATGAGTTCGAACGGACGGTGCGGGTCTTCGATGTGAAGCACGGGCGGGCAGCACAATTTTTTCTTGAGGGCCGAGAAGGCAGCTTGCTCTTTCTCCCCCTACGTGTACTAAACCCCTTTCCTCAGCAGGTCGGTCAACGGAGTAGTCAACTTTGCCATGTCGGGGACGAACCGGCGCACGTAGTTGACGAACCCCAAAAAACTCTGCAGCTCAGTCAAATTTGTCGGCGCGTGCCACGCTTGAATCGTCGCGATTTTCTTCCGGTCTATTTCCACTCCGTTAGCTGAAATAATGTGTCCCAAAAACCCAAGTCTCTCTTGTAGAAATTCACACGTAGAGGCTTTGGTCAGTAGGCGATTCTCACACAGTATTTTAAAGACGACTTCGATGTCCCGTAGGTGATGTGCTCTGTCTGGACTGTAAATCAGGATATCGTCGAGATACACGATGACACACTAAACTAAAAGCGGGCGGAAGGCTTCATACATGGTCATTTGAAAATTGGGGGGGGGGGGGGGGGGGGGGGGCGTTGGTCAGTCCGAAGGGCATGATGGTGTATTCGAAGGATCCATATCGTGTTCGGAAGGCTGTTTTCGGGCAGTCAGGTGGGTTGACTCGGATCTGCTGGTAGTCTTTTTGAAGGTCAGTTTTCGAGAAAACCCGAGCTGTGCACAGTTGGTCAATCAGTTCGTCGGCTCGTGGGATGGGGTAATGTGACTTGATGGTAACCCTGTTCAGTGCGCGGTAATCGATGCACATGCAAAAACCCCTGTCCTTTTTTGGTCTGAACAGGATCGGTGCTGCGAAGGGTGATGAACTCGGGCGAATGAACTCTTTCTCGAGCAGGTAATCCAACTGCTTCCTCAGTTCGTCCAGTTCGGGTTGGGTCAGTCGGAACTGTCGCTGTACTGTCGGTTGTGCCCCTCGGTTCTAACTCTATACTGTAGTCGTGAAGGTAATTTGGGAAAAATCCCACCGTACTGTGAAGCAACGAAAACAGGAATGAAATGACTAAGGAAAGATTGGGTACAAATACAACCCTAGAAACCCTGTACCCCATATGTGCTACCCCACTATAGCCTACA